CAAACATCAGGAAAGAATCGGTTTTAGGATTTCCCTAGATGAAGATCTCTGCCGAAGATAAAGTTAAATTTAAGGAATGGCAAAGATCTTCTCGAAGGCTTCGAAAGTTTTTGACATCGGATGTTCGGCAAATTAGATATTCCAGTTACGGGATCAATATGATCGAACCGGAAAGTAGTCAACTTCCGCCTAAATGGAGAAAAGTTTTCGTCTCTTCTCCGCCGAGGATTCGTATTGATTTTCTCAAGGTTCGGTCTTCTAATTGTGTGTCAGTATTCCAATGGAGCAGATGGTAAACCTGGCACGCAAAACAAGAAAGTATTTTATTATGCGATCGTAAGTTTGGCGGCTTTTAGCTTTGCTTTCCGGATTATAACAAGTTTTCATCTCTCTTTTTCTTCGCAAACTCTATAAAATCGCTAATTAATATTATCGCGTGTAATTGCCTTTTGCAAGAAGCTTTAGGATTTATCTCGCCCCCTCCTTTTAAACCATTAGTTCAGAGTTATAAGTAGCTGTTATAAGTACCCTAGAACTTTGGCATTATCTCCATCTCATCTATTTCGTTGTTAATTTTATGAAGTTATTAGCTGATATTGCGGAAGATTTATTAAAGCTGCTGCATCCTTGTCATAATACGATCTTATAAAAATAATTCTCTGTATACATATAACGAGATAGTTTCCAAGCCACCTCCCAATACATCACAATCGATCCTTAAGTATTAAGATACGTGCTAATTTTATTCGTACAAAACGCGTTACCTAAATGTATTAGGTCGTGACACAATATTCGACTATTGCTAATCTCTCATATGGCGATAGTACAGGTTATCACTGATTACAGCAATTGCAGACTTTGTTTAGAACTTGTTACTTAGCTTCTATCAAATCACGCTTTACCGAAGTTAGACTCAAATGTGAGCTATTTAATTTAATTTAATTTCCTCGTAGTTAACCACCAACAACCATCGTACCACTGTAAAGTTTGTTGCTATAACAGCAAACACGAAAGTTTTACCGTATTCGCGACAAAAATTCTACGTGTCTCAAACAACACCCCTCGATCTTCTCCAAAGTTCAAACCCCTTTCGCCGTGTCTTTTCCCTCTATATCCTATCGCCATCTATCAAAAACCAGTGCTGTTTCTACTCCGAAGACGAGTGCGAGAATACACGATCGTCACGGCTGGTCGTGTTCTAACGATCGTTAAAATTAATGACGCACGGCAAGGTGTCCACGTGGCGACAGGAAAAGCGAGTCAATGAAATACTCCAGAACGCCAGAGGAGAACGATAGTTGACGTTTTTCCACGTGACAGACTGGAGTCTGCAGCTTGTAAGCTTCGCGTTGAATCGAGTTGCGAATCGAACCGGAGGGTTGAACAGGCCCGACGAAAGACAGAAACGGCGACTCTGTCATAAGTCACCGTCGACGACTGGTCGATCGATGGTCCGTGCTGATGTCGCGTCTGTGTATCTTTTCCCAGGAACTCAGTTTCGCCACGCAGTTTCTCTCTGTCATTGGCCATTTGCTCGTCCGTGACGGGTTCATCCGAATTTCCTCTGTATCCTGAACACGCACCAGGATACAATAGTCCAGGGGCTGTTAGGGTCTCCTGCTATTATTAGGAGTTAACAAAATGTGAATCGATTGCAGATTGATGACTATGAGCTTGATAGATCGTAGTAGGTTTGGGAGCTTTTCGAACTTTCTTTCTGGACGGTTTATTTTCAACAATGGGGGAGGAACGTGCGTCGAGTTTGAATCGTATAACACGCAAAGGTGATTGCTGTTTTATGGACTGAAGTTTCGGTTAGTTTTCGTGAGCGGAAAGACGGCGAACTTTTAGGCATATTTCCTTATTTTCGACGATTTTCTTCACAGTTCTTAGGTATTTTTTAAACGGAAACACATTGCAGGAGACAATTAAGTGCTTTTGTTTCGTCTTATTCGCATTCGTCTCTATTATTGTTTAACATCGAGCAAGATCGTATTTTAGAAACTTCTTGATATTCTAAAAACTTTGCGCTCTGTGTTAAAAGTGCCATTGCGTAACTCCAATGGCCCCTTTTTGTGCCCTAGAAATTAACAATATACATAATAAGAAATAGAATACGTAGAAGAAAAGTATGGCGTCTAACAAATTTGAACGCAATAAATAAATTTCAAGTGGATTATTTCGCAAAAGCGGAGAAGCGACCCATTTGCCAGCTTATTCTTTATCGAATTAGTTGGATAACAACGATTATTAAATTCGACGAAGGCGGAGCAACGGTAACCGGAAGTCATCTCGCGTTCGCTATTATTGACAAAAGCGTCTCTGAGGTCTAACGATACACAGAACATAGCGAATTTCGTGGCACGCAGAGGACGGGGATGACAAATCCCGATGTCATCGTGGGAAACGGAAATAGAAATTAGGAAAGTCCCTGGTAACGGTGACGCATCGTTTCTATAGTCGAAGTTTCGTAAACTGCTGGTTGGTTGGAAAAGTAGAAACGTCGCGACTCTCGTAAAACTTATTTACTGGAAGGACAGTTTAAACGGTTTTTACTGTTGTTCGTGTGCGAGATACACGTGTCGATGAAACGTGAGCGCGCGATGGTGTACACGTACTTGGATGAAACGGTGTCGGTTTTACGCTGGCCAAAGTGGATTGCCGATTTATTAGATCGCCCCTGGCGATTTTCCTCGGCATTATTATCACGCGATTACGCTTATCGGCTACTCGATTTAAGTATATCGAGTGTATGACGGTAGCTACGACGACGGAAATATAATTAGAGTAAAGTTGGGCAAAGTTGTTGAAATTTTACTTTGTCTGCGGTTTTTAACTCTCTTGTCAGTTTGGTGTTTCATTTTTCTGTCTCTTTTAACAATTCTTTACGTTCTTATGAAAATATCGCAGAATTTCTTTAAATTTCTATTTCCTAAACATTTTTATCCTTGTTTTGATTTATGTTTCCAGAATGACATTGTACGCAATGTTACGCATTGGTTAAAAAAGTAGGCGCAGTTGCGGTTTGTGAAAACTACGAATTCTCGAGTTGCAAAAGTTCAGTGTGTTATAAAGATGGAAAACTAGATTGACTTACGTGAAGCTGATATTCAAAATACCTGAGTAGCCTAGTTTGCAATTTTAGCATTCAATGCTAAAACTCTTTCAAGGCACAAAAGTAGGTTAAAAAAGATTAACTCAAGCTAATTTCAATGATTCTAAAATTTCTAGACTTCTTCTCGCAGAATCTCAGTCGCTCGAAGAGTCTCATTTTTAAACGGCACGGTTTTAAATTATTCGTCAAGCTTTTACCTCACGACCGCGAAATATTCCCCCGCGAAACTCTCAAACGGTCCACCTCGATCTCCCATCACTTCTCCGCGAACAACGAAGCGAAATTAAAGACCTATTAATCGTTTCCTCGAGTTTTCAACGCCGTCGTGGCAGATAACGTTGTTCATCACGCGGCAGGCACATGGAACTTCCGGCTGCGTTTCCCGCAAGCGGACGAAAACAATTAATCGCCGCAAGACGGCGAACGATAATTTAGTTTGCTTACTTGCTCCGGAGCTATATCCCGGTTATAATCCGGCGATACGAGAAGTTCACGCCACGGATCGAATTACGCCTATGAATATTAATTAGACAGGGAATCGCTTCGTTTAGAATCGACCATACGGCTTTCCATACATCCGGAGGACGCGATCCGACGAAATGGATTTGTCTCGCGATAAACGACTGTTGCAACGAACGCCTGGCCGTTTTGTCAACTTCGAAAATGGTCAGAGAGCTGTTGTGTCAACCGGTCGTTTCCAGTTGGAAAAATCGAGGCTTACTCGAGGGATTCGGTCGCTCGAATTTTCCTTTTTTTTTGTTTCTCTCTCTCTCTTTCTCTCTAGGCTACGAAATACGGAGCGGTTTTGGTAGGACGGTTGGTGGATTCGTTTATCCCAATTCTGTAGAGTATTTGTTTTATTAAACAGGTTTCGTGACTGGGCAAGAGTTGATATTTTGTGGAAAGTTCGTAATCCTGGTGAACGATTACGACGGCTTATTTCGTTCGAGGAACATGTAACGGCGTTTGCATTGTGTTTCTGGTTTGTTGTTTGCCAGTGACTCCTGTCAGATTCGAGCGTAGTATATTTCATAATTTCGTTATTCGTTAGATTCTGTCGTATACTTACAGTATACGTTATATTTATTTTCCAAGGACTGTAACGAACGAAGCAGATTTTTAAGAATTTATAAAGTAATTTGTTCCTTTTTTTTTGATGAAAAGCAATTATAAAGAGGATAAAGAAATTTTATACGAAATGTTGCGTTTAATATCACCATGGAAGTAGGTACTTTGGTCTGGATAGTACCGAAATACGGTATATTATCAAGATCAGTCGAAGGTACTAAACAGACTTGGTAATTTACATTTCCCAACGACTTTTTAGTGTCGTTCTTGCTGAAGATTTTATTGCAGGTTACGTACTGTCTCTATTCGTTTTAACTCTTTTAATTTACATTATAAATGAAGAAGCGAATCTCCCTTTTTCTGTAGTATTCTTTTTATCAAAACGTAAATTTAAAAAATCGACATAAAGTTAAACGTATGAAAGCCGGGTAACGAGAGATCGTAGAATAAGTGATACGCGATGAAAATGGTAACAAAAATGGTAACACAGCAGAAATTGCTTGAATTTTACATAGAAGAATCACGCAATCCCTTCGCACGACGTTGAAATCAGCAATATTGCATAAAATTCCCATGATTTCGAGACGTATAACGATATCTCTTGTAATCGTGTCGCACGAACTTTTTCTCAGATAATAATCTAGAAAACTCGACTATTTTTCCACCTCCGTGTCGTTCGATAATTAGTCGGCGCGAAAGTTCGATCTTGATGCGAAAGGAAAACGGAAGTTTTTCAACTTTATCCATAAATTATCGGAATGAAACACTTCATTTTGATTTATTTCTAATTTCTTCTTCTTCTTCTTTTTTTTTATAGAAGATCGAGCGAGTCCACGCAAAGGCAGAAAGGATCGGTGATCATTGGAGTCGACGAATATTCGGTGAGTCGAATGAAATCAACGATATTGTATACTCGACTATTCGCGATGGTTTTTTAATTGGTTTCTTCTTTTAATTGGTTAATTGGATATTAATTCAATTTGTTCAATGTTTAAGGGATATTCATTGCTTTTGCATGTTCCATACTTTTTCTATACATTTCTCTCACTGAAGTGTTTCGCTACAAGTAACAAAAATTCGTCATATATCTAAGATACAATCGTTTATTATAAATATTCGTCTCTTGATAACAATTAATTACAAGAGAAACTAAAATTCGTTCTATATTTAAGACAGAAACAATCGCTACAAGTATCCGTACTATTCTTTGACAATTTCCCTCAAAACTTCCGTAGACTGAAATCACTAAACGACTGGAACAGAGCTTCGTACTTTCCTAACTCGCATCGATTTCTGCATCGTTTTCCTTAAGAACGTTCGAAATTATTTCTCTCCTATTTCAATTCTATTTCCCAGTGTCGCAGCTCTTTATCCTTTCCTTATAAGCCCGCGAAGAATCTACCGCCTACTAAAGCTAAACGCCTCGATTTCCCGGCAATATTCGCGATAATAGTCGCGACAACTAGCCATTGCGAGAAGCATTCGCAGCATGGAGTCTCATTCATCCTGCGTTTCAATAACCATCGAACCCATTAACGAGCCGACACCAGCCGGTGTCTCTGGCCGTTTTAAACAGCAAATTCATCTGAACGATACGGTTCGTTTCGATTGCCCGTCGAACGAAGAAGCCCATAACTTCGCCGCTCGTTTTCCTATCGAGAGCGCTCGATGACGATTTTACGAATGGGAGAGCGAGGAGTGTTGCACGCAGCGACGAAATTGCTCGATTCTCCTTCTGTCGTTATCGTTTCACATCGGTGAGAAAAGCGATCGGAGGAAAAAAAAGAAAGGAACGAGCCACGAAACATCTGGCGTCGCGAGGAAATCAAATTTCCAGAGCCTTTGCCTGACTTCTGTGCTAATTTCTCCTTTCGTAACTCGATAAAATCACCACGATGAAAGATCCTAACCCCGGTTATGGACTCAGCGTGATTTTTTTCGCTGTCGGAAGTTCGATCATTGATGTCAAAGGTGTTTTAGCTGTTACGATGATTGACAGATACGTGGGGGTTAGTTCGGGGATGAAACGGTTTGTTGAATAGTAAATTTGGTCGCGATGGTTGGGGGCAAGTAGGGTGGCTTTGATACTTTTGCTTTGTATGTAATTTGATCTATTTTAATGGGATACGTACTTTGTGTATGATTTATTGTTATTATCGTTATTATTCGTTTATGTTCCAAAACAAAATTAGAGACAATCTCGCTCTGCATGGTTTGCTACAGTTAGTTGTACGATGGTCGAACAAAAAGGTTTGTAATAATAAAGGTAAGGATGATGGTTAGATTAACAGTAAAAATTCATTTCGATCGTGCGATTGTTCAGCTGTGCGCACCGATCAGGTGTCACTGTGCGGTCCATTCATCGAACGAAGCATCGAGTGAAGCCAATATGATGTCAAAGTAACGTGTAAAATATATTAAAAATGCTCGGTTTTACATAGCTTTGATTTTCGAACCGCTGGATTCTGCAACTTCAATCTTGGATTTTCAGATGTTACGTATCGAAAACTACAGAATTGCTGATACAAAAGTAAATCATTTTCGTAAAGTAATTCGATATAAATGTAAATAATAATAATAATAATTACATTTATGTATAACGGTTTAATTTAACTGTAATAATAATAATTTATTAAAGGTAATAATTATTTACAAGCATGTTACCGAATCGCATTTAAACAACTTGTTCACCATTGTTTGTTTTTTATTATTATCGATACCGCGACTATTTGATTAAAGTACAGATTTAAAATAATTCAAAGCAAGTTGTCGTGCAATTCCACTTATTAACAAACGTTTAATTAATCAGAACAAACGAATATATCAAGATAAATTGAAATTATAAATTGTTTATAAATAAAAAGTTCACATTAAAGTACACATACATTTTTCATTCTCTCAATTGTTTCAAGGAATGGACTTAGCCCACTTTCAAAATAAACGGCCCGTTTAATAAATCGATCTTCACTCGTTCACGTACACAAAATAATACGTTCGACAGCCTCTTAACTTAAATTTTCAAATAAACGCTTCAACTAAAATACTCTCGCTCATCCTTCTCATTCCTATTCTTTCCCTCTTTCAACAAAATCGAACAAACGCTCTCTCGCCTATTCTTTCACCTGAAAACCATGTCGCAAATACGATTTATCGACTCGTATCGAAATCGAACGCTATCTGAAGCTCACCGGTTACACTTTCTGAAAAAAAACTACGCGGCTTCCTCTATCCGTCGTTGATTGGAAATGTTTGTCTCGTGATCGAACGGTCGTCGAGTTGAAAGGCTCTCGGCTGCTTAAAAATGTTTGCCGTGGAAATATTCGAATCGATCGTTCCACTATGAAGTTTTAGAGGGAATTGTCCATCGAAAAGAAAACACGAAACGTGTGAGCAGAGCAGGAACAATCGCGAGATTACCAAGATCGAAAAATGATTATGTTTGAGAATATTTCTCGCGCGGAATTCCAGCCGACCGCGTTCTCTGCTCGCGAGGCTTTCTTGACTTCTGCAGTCCTTTCTCGGAATCTGAAACGTGGTTGTGATCGAACGACACGTCTTCGTGGCTCGCAATTACGCGCAGCTACGCCAAGTTTCTCGGATATTGGAAGCTCGTTTTCGATAAAACGAACGGTTAATCTGTCGCTGGCGTCTTTGCATGGGTGACACGTGAATTTTCGAGCCGGGAAATTTTTTCCAAGCTTTATAGTTTACTATTTCAATTTAATATTTTTACGAGTATAATTCTTTATAACATTTACGACTTGAGAATTATAAAAAGAAAGAAGGAAAATCGTGGGAGAAAATTGAAGTAAAAGGAGAGGATGTTATAGAATAAATTTTTGTTTCAGAATGTTTCGTAAATTTAATCAATCTTCGAATAATTTTGATTCTCTTCGTTACAATCGAAGAAAAATTTAATTACGAAGGCATAATTAATATTAAAATCTAATTGTGAAAGATTATTGGCTTAAACGTATTAAAGAGGTAAAGAAAAATCGTGACGATATGACTATACACGTAACGGATTTATATGTTGAGGCGGCTTGTGACAGGAAGATGTAGTATCATTTTCTACAAATTGATTTTACATTTGTGAATGAAAAGCTTCAGGCATCCGTTTGTTTCTATTTTTTCTGCTTTTACTATATTTTTTTCTCTGGTTTTGAAATATTGCTACACGCGACAGGTTTTTCATCTCTTGTTATCATCTGACCCAAAAATGTTGCGCGAAGTTGTCAGCCGGACAATAAATTGCGGACTGAAGTTTCACACAGCCCAGTTTTGTTCCGATAATTCATGTTATGTCGGCGGGTCCGCGGCTTTTACTACCTTCCCGAACATTCCCAGTTGTCCTCGCAATTTGCTCTTCAATTTACATATGGCTAATTTCGTGGATCACTTTAAATCAGTGTCTCGAGAATAAGGATACATTTATTTACTTTTCTACAATTTCAAGAAATTCAAGATATGAAAGTTTTTAAATGCCACATTTAGTTTTCTAATATAAACAAAATATATTAAATTTAAAAAATATTATTTGTTGGTACTTTCGTACGATCACAAAAATTTGATACTACGAATACGTAACGTAGATCTTGATAAAAAAAACTGCCGTATCGAAAAATAAGGGTATGTGCAAATGCTTTTTGCAGTCAATATAAATTTCTATTTTGTAGAGAATTCTGAAGTATCTTCTATATGAGCGTGATTTCATCGATTGACATTTCGGTTTCCTGGCCAACTTGGCACGCTACCTTTCAGCCAGTTTATTCTTCACCATCGGCCATCCAGATAACGAAAATAACTTCCTTTACATATTGACATCAGCATTATCTAGAAGTTTAAATTCACAAATAATCAAATTTTCCAACAGTCAAGAGGATAACTAGCGTTGAACAGAAATTTAAAAACCCTTTACTCGCTACTTGTCTTCTAAACAATCAATTACGTTAGCAGAAGCTGCTAACACTCATATACTTTCGTTATGAGCATACACACGCACACACACACAAGTCGAAAAATTGCAGTTCCATGCAAAAACACGCCGGTTCCCAGTACTCTTTGCCAAGCTGCAGCAAAACTTTCGATTGCTTCCGGCTTCAAGAGCGACATTTTTCGACTCGTTTCCGGAAACAAGTCCCTGAACTTCCGCTAACACTGTTCCGTGAACATTGTTTCCCTAAAAATTAAGCAAATCGACACGATTTATCATCACAAACCAATTTTGTATTATATTCGTTGCTTATAGTTAGAGCGAGAACGTTTATACGCATATAAGTTGTCCGAAAAGTGTCTTTCTTTTACAGACACGTCTTTTACAACGACGCATCTTTATACGAACGTGAAACCTAATTTGTCGAACGTTGTCATCTTTATTCTGATAGAACAAAATGGATCACACGTAATTCGATAAAATAATATAAAACGGAAAAATGTTGTGCGTCCATTATTTCCTTATTAAACGAAAGAAACTTTCCGGACGACCTAATAGAAAATTAAAAGATACGGATAATGCGTAGGAATATAGAAGATATCTAGTCCATTGAATTTATTATGATATTTAATGAGTGAAACAAATGTTTGCGTAATTGTAAAGACGTAAATTTGCATAAGCACTTTCGTAGCTTACTTACGAACATCTCAATTTTCGTCTGTGGAATCACGTTATTCCATCGAAATCTTCACGATAATCTTTCGTATTCCAAACTATATCTCTTTTATGGTTATCTTCGTTCTAGATATTCCAAGACTTTTAGTATAAATATTGTTGAAAGTGACAACGTGAGTTCGTCAGCTCGTCAGCTCGCCATCCATATGCAGATACGTTAGTTATAAGAAATAGTAACTAGAGGATGATCCTAGTTACAATCGATAGATTTAA